GCTTCCAGTTTGGAGAATGCACTGTCCCAAGCTTCAGGGTTTTTTTGCAGCAGTTTTCAGAGATAATTCTAGGGACCTGTAAATTTTCAGTTCTTTCTAAATGATCAAAGGTGAGGTGTTTACTGCATTCCTGGCCTGTACTGTAGTCCATGAGTGACCATAAGCACTCTTTTCTGCCTTGGAACTGTGAAGATGATTCTCTCTCCATCATTGCCAAAAGCTGTACCACACCAATGGTCCTCTTCACCCCAGGACCACCATTCAGAGCTGCAACTCAGATCCAAGTATGGGCAAAGCAAGAGAATCCTGCCTCAGCACCAGCAAAGAGATCCCTGCAATCATTCTCTGATCAGCCACTCAATCCTCCCACTGTCTATGGGTCAACAGTTCCAGAAGCAGCTGCCTCCAAGGGGCTGTGCTAGGACTGAGGCCAGACTGCTCTCCTCTCGCATCAAGGTCCAACAGACCTTTCCTACTGACCTTCTAAGTTGTCTTTGCCATTTGTGAGTTGAGAAGTCTGGAAACCGCTACAACTGTCCTGTGATTCAGTCCCCTGAGGCTTGCTCCAGGTTAACTGAGGGCCTGTTTTTGCCTACCTGGCCCATGCTGAACTGTGCTCCTCTACCATCCCGGCACAACAGACCTTTCTTATCAACCATCCAGGTTTCTTGGGCTGGAAATTTATTTCACTCTGTCTTTTTGTGGGTTCTACTGCTCTAGAATTTATTTAGAGCCATTTTTTTTACAACTATTAGGTGGGGTTTGGGGGACAGCTCAAGCAAGGTACTGCTTTTACTCTGCCATCTTGGCTTCACCCCCTGAGAGGGAGAGTCTCGTTTGAGGAAAAATGAGGAAACCAGTGTCACTGGACCATAGGCTACATGGAAGAGAATAAGGGATAATAAAACTGGAAAGGTGGGTAAGGGCCAGGTTATGAAGAGTTTTCAAAGGCAAACAGGGCCTATTCTGTTTGATCCTGGAAGTAAAGAGATCCATTGGTGTGACTTTATTGAATTTCATTGAAGAGGAGATAACAAAGAATTGCTCTTTAGGAAGATCACTCAGATGGCTGAGTGAAGGTTTGACTGGAGTGGGGAGGAGACTGGAGATAGGGAGTCCAGAAGGCCATTGCAGTAGTCTAGGTGTGATGTGATGAGGGATTGCAGTAGGGTATTGGCAGTGTTAGAGGAGAGAAAGGCATGTACATGAAAGATACGAAATTAGAATTGACAAGATTTGGCAAAGTATGGGATATTGGGAGATGAGAAAGTGAGGAATCATGGTACTGGTAGCTGAGAGGATGGTGAGTTTAGAAGAAGGGAGAGTTTGGGGGAAGATGAAGAAGAAAGATAATCAGTTCAGTTTTGGCCAAGCTGAGTTGACGTCTAGTTCAAAATATCCAAGAGGCAGTAGGAGATACGAGAATGGAAGTTCAGAGAGGCTTTTAGAACTGGATAAAATAGATTTGAGAATCATTGGCATAGAGATGATAATTGAATCTGTGACAACTGATGAGATCATCAATCAAAAATATAGAGGGAAAAGATTGCTCGGAATAGAGACTTTAGGGGATACCCACTGATAGTGGGTACAAACTGGATGAAGATCTAACAAGAACTGAAATCAGTCAAACTGTTAGAAAGAGAACCAAGAGAGAGAAGTATAATGAAAACCTAGAGAGAAAAGAAAATCTAGGAGAGGAGGGTGGGTTGATACTGTTAAAGATGACAGAGAGGTCAAGAAAGATGAGGATTGAGAAATGGCTATTAGATTTGGCAGTTAAGAAATCATGTGATTGTAATTGAATACTATTGTGCCATAAGAAATGATGAGCAAGATGCTTTCACAAAAACCTGGACTTACAGGAACTGATGCAAAGTAAAGTGGGCAGAACCAGGAGACCATTGTACATAGTAACAACAATGTTGTATGATGATCACCTGTGAATGATTTAGCTATCCTTAGCAATACAGTGATCCAAGACACTTCTAAAAGACCTCTGATGAAAAATGCTATCCACCTCCAGAGAAAAAAGCTGATGGAATCTCAATGCAGCTTGGAGCGCACTATTTCTTTAAACTTTCTTTCTTTTTCCTTTTTTTTTTGATTGTGCTTTCTTTCACAGCATGACTAATATAGCAATATGTTTTGCATGAGTACACATGTATAACATTTATCAAATTACTTGTTTTCTTGGCAAGGGGAAAGGAAGGGGAGGGTGGAAGAGAATTTGGAACTCAAAATTTTAAAAAGTAAAGGTTAAATTTTGGTTTTATATATAATATGAAAAATATTAAAAGTCAAATAAATGAAAAGATCATAGATAACTTTAGAGAGCATTGAATGATAAGGTCAGAAGACAGAGTGGCTAAGCGTAAGAGGAAAGGAAGTGAAGACATGGATTGTAGACAGCTTCCTTGAGGAGGTTAGCTACAAAAGAGAGGAGAGGTCTACAGGTTAATAGTCAGCAGAGATAGATGTATCAAGTGAGAGTTTAAGGGTGGAGGAGATATGAGCATGCTTGTAGACATCAGGAAAGCATACAGCAGACAGGGAGAAATGAAAGACTGGAGAGAAAGTAGGAATGAGAGAAGGGTAATTTGCTGAAAAATATGGGATGGAATGGATCAAGTGAGGCTGTGATAAGAGAAGAGTGTAAGTGACTCATTACACTTGGAAATTTGGAGCATTTTGCTATATTGGAAACAGGAAAGATTAGCAAGACTTTAGAGGAATTTTAAAGTTTGGCTTATTTATCTCCCTCACACAGAGAACTACACAGAGATCTTGCTAAGGCTCCATGATGAAGAAATTGTGAAGGTGAAACAATATTATGAGCTGCACAAAGAACTATTTGAAGGCATTCAGAAGTGGGAAAAGAACTGGAGGCTTTTCTTGGAATTTGAGGTACTTTTTTAGAGGGAGAGAGGGAGGGAAAGGCAAGAAGAGAAGAGTGTAATAAGTTGTGCTGAATAGAATTGCTGAAACCCCATTCCTTGGTGCAATGGGATTTCTGAAACCTGGTTTTGCCTCCTAAGTCTCCTCATTTCCGCAAGCCATGTCTTGCTAACTTCTCATGAACCTACTTAAAGATGAGTTCTGGTTGGGAATACTTTGGATTCCTTTTCTGGCACCTTAGTTGTTAGTGCAGGGAAGGAATACATTTCTGGCTTCTGAGGTGTATGGTTTATGAAATTAAAGGACTCCCAAGAACTAAATCTTCCTTCTATGTTTGGATTTATTGCTTAAATAGTAGCTCTAATTAAAATTTATTGTCTCCATTTACAGGAGCAAATGACTTTAGTAATAACCGTGTGTTTGACAAGTGTGAAGACTTATGTTTTTGAGAGAAGAATTCATTAGTTAGTACAAAATTGTTGAAAAAGCTGAAAAGTAGTCCGGCAGAAATTGGGCATAGACCATTACCATACACCATTTCCCAAGATAAGGTCAAAATGGATACATGACCTATATAGAAAGAGAGATATTACAAGAAAGATTGAAGAACATGGAATATATTACCTATCAGGCTTACGAGAGGTGAACAATCTATGAAGAAACAAGGTATAAGAGAGCAGTATGAGGTGTAAATGGAAAATTTCAGTTACATCAAGTTAAAAAGGTTTTGTTCAAATAAAACAAATGTAGCCAAGATCAGAAGGAAAGCAGAAAATTGGGGTAAAATTTTATACATAGTTTCTCAAATAAAGTTCTGATATCTCAAATATATACAGAACTTTGTCAAATGTATAAAAATACAAGTTATTTCCCACTTGATAAATGGTCAAAGGATATGAACAGGCAGCTTTCCAATAAAGAAATTGAAATAATGTATAGTCATATGACAAAATGCTCTAAATCATGATTGATTAGAGAAATCAAAATTAAAATAATCTTGAGATATCATTTTACACCTACCCAATTGGCCAAAATAATTGAAGAGGAAAGTGCCAAATGTTGGAGGAGATATGGAAAAATTGGGACACTAATTCATAGTTGGTGTAACTGTGAACTGATCTAACCATTTTGAAGAGCAATCTGGAATTATGCCCAAAGAGTTATTAGACTGCCTATACCGTTTGACCCTGCAATACCATTACTAGGTCTATTTCCAAAGATACTTAGAGAAAAAGGAAAAGAACCTATATGTTCCAAAGTATTTATAGCAGCTCTCTTTGTGGTGGCAAAGAACTGGAAATTATGGGGATGCTTATCAGTTAGGGGATGGCTGAACAAGTTGTGGTTTATGACTATTGTTATAAGAAATGATGAGTTTGATGATCTTTGAAAAACATGATAGACTTGCATGAAATAATGAAGCAAAATTGAGCAGAACCAAGAGAACATTGCATACATTAACAGCAATATTATTTAAGAACAACTTGGAGCTAGTAATGTATTTTGACTCTTATAAATACCCATATTAACTACACATGACCTATGAAGGAAGATGCTATCTGCATCCAGAAAAAGAACTGATAAATAGAAGTATGTATAGAATTATTTTACATAAAAATACTTATTTGTTTCTAATGGTAGCCATCTCTAGGTCTGGGGCAGTGAGGAAAGAAAAAAAAAAGAAAAAAGTTACATGATAGCTTTAATACATATTTTAAAGGAATAGCAAGTTGTACATCATAGATTTGCAGTTTCATGTGCAGTCATGTTTTTTCTATTCTAATATGTTACAGAAATGGTTGTTTTATTTCTAGAATTCAGAATAAAATCAATTTAAAAAAAAAATGTTGTCTCCACAGAGAAAAGCTTCAGATCCAAGCCGATTTAGGAACCGTGGTGGAAATCTCTTAAAAGAAGAAAAGCATGGAGCCAAGCTACAAAAAACACTCTTTAAGAGCACTTTGGAGTGCTCTTCATGTTTTACACGAAAGGTCCTTCATTTCAAAATCGAGCTTTGATAAAAGCAGAATAAGGAAAACAACACACACTGATTACAACAACATCAATAAAAGAACAAAATTTTCTAGTTGAACACTGCTTAATGACAATGACCAAACTTGGCCTGGAAAAAGAGTTAAGAAAAGGTCCTGAACGTCCTTTTTTTTTTCTTTGTACCAGTGGGGTTTTTTAGGTGTGGTACTCTCCAGTTGGTTGATGTCTTGGTTGGTTTTGTTGAATTGCTTTGCACTCCTCCCCACCCCACCCATTTTTTTCTTTGTTATGAGGGATGACTCCTGGAGGAGGAAAGAATGAGAGAGATACATTCAGAAATAAAGGTGACAAAAAAGAAAACACCAAAAAATGCCTTTTAAAATCTGTCCTTTAAGTTTTCTGCCCAACAGTGACTACAGTAATCTACTGTTTGATAAACCCAAAGCCCCCAGCTTCTGGAATAAGAACCCATGATTTGAAATTTCTGGGAAAACCGGAAAATAGTATGGCAGAAATGAGGCATAGACCAATATCTTACACCCTATACCAGGATAAAGTCAGAATAGGTTCACAATTTAGATACAAAGGCTGATACTATAAGCAAACTAGGAGAGCAAAGAAGTTTACCTGTCAGATTTATGGAGAATGGAAGAATTTGTGACCAGACAAGGGATAGAAAACATTATGAAATGCAAAATGGATAATTTCGATTACATTAAATGGAAAAGGTTTCGCAGAAACAAAGCCAATGCAACCAAAATTAGAAGGGAAGCAGAAAGCTTGAAAACAGTTTTTACAACCAGTGTCTCTGATAAAGGCCTCATTTCTAAAATATGTAGTGAACGGAGTCAAACTTATAAGAATACAAGTCATTCCCCAAATGACAAATGGTCAACGGATGTGAACAGGCAGTTTTCAGAGGAAGAAATGCTCTATATCACTTTGATTAGATAAATGCAAAACAAAACAATTCTGAGGTAGTGTATCACACCTATTAGGTTGAATAACATGATAAAACAGGAAAATTATAAATGCTGGAGAGGATATGGGAAAACTAGAACACTAATGCATTGTTGATGGAGTTATAAACTAATCCAACCATTCTGGAGAGCAATTTGGAAGTATGTCCAAAGGGCCATAAAACTGTATACCTTTGACCCAGCAATACCACTTCTTGGTCTGTATCCCAAAGAGGCCATACAAATGGGAAAAGGACCCACGTGTACCAAAAATATTTACAGCAGCTCTTTTTGTGGTGGTCAGTAATTGGAAACTGAGAGGATGCTCATCTATTGGGGAATGGCAGAACAAGTTGTGGTATATGAATGTAATGGAATACTAGTGTTCCATAAGTAATGATGAGCAGGTGGACTTCAGAAAAACCTGGAAAAACTTACATGAACTGATGCTGAGTGAAGTGAGCAGAAAGAGGAAAACGTTGTACACAGTAACAGTCACAGTATGTGATGAGCAACTTTGATACACTTACCTCTTCTTAGCAGTGCAAAGATCGAAGACATCTGCAAAAGAGTCAAGATGGAAAATACTATGCACATCCAGAGAAAGAATTATGGAGTGTGAATGCAAATGGAAGCATATTATTTGCATTCTTTTTTTTCTTTTGGTTTTGTTTTGTTTCTTCTTTCTCATGGTTCCTCACATTGGTTCTAATTCTTCTATACAACATGACTAATGTGAAAATGTGTTTAATATATCTGTAGACCCTATATCAGATTACACACCATCTTGGGGAGGGAGGCAGGCAGGGAGGCAGGGTGGGAGGGGGAGAAAATTTAAAACTCAAAATTTCATTCTCATAGAAGTGAATGTTGAAAACTAAAAATAAATTAACTAAGTAATTTTTTTTTAAATTTTCTGCCCAAGAAACAAGTCCTATATTAATTTCTCCGAACAGATAGAATGCTACATTATACCTCTCAAGAAGGCTATCCTTACTAGAGTTGTCCATTGGGTCACAAAAGATGTTCTTAGGATGGAGCTTCCTCAGGCATTAGAATTCTTGAAGATCCAACCATTGTGACTTGGGTTTTGCTGAATGCCATAGCATCAGGTGCCATTAAAACAAAACAAAACAAAACAAAAACTTAGAAGTGCATGTAATTTATTTCTCTTTGCTCCCTCATGTGTTATCTAAATAAGCTGGGGCTTTTTCCCCCTAATGATCAATTTTATGTACATTCTGTCTTGCTCTCATGTTTTGCTTAGAGTTACAAACATATTGAAATAGCACAATCGACCCCTGAATGGAAGAAGTCACCCTTTGGAACAGCAAGATTAATAGCATGTTAGCGAGTTATTGATAATAAGCTTTCCTTTTTTAAAATAACCTCAGCTGGAAGAGGAGTTGAAAACGCAGATTGAAATGTGGGAAAAAGAACATTCTGAGACTTTTGTGGTGAATGGCCAGAAATTCACAGAATATATGATGGAACAGTGGAAGATGTTTCATTTGAACAAAGAGAAAGAAAAGCAGGAACGAGTAAGTAAAAACAAAGAGAGAAAAGCTGTGAGCTAAGTTGGAGGGATGGTGAGAGCATACAGTCTATGTCCATCCCTTGCCTTCCATTTTGTGTGTGCTATAGACTAGCTTTGGGGCTCTGCCTTCACACCCCTTTTTTTTGATGTTGTGCTTATCACTGATGATTCTTATTCGTATAGCAACTAAAGAAGAACCAAGAAAGGAGCAGAGATGTCATATAGCAGCAGATCCAAAATACCCTTCAAGAAGGAAGGACTCAGGCCTAATTCATCAGGCAAAGGCTACAAGGTAACAAAGCTTTACCTCATTAAAAAGTCTGACTCTTAGTCAGAGAAGTATTGTTTGGAAAAAGGTAGTAGGAATGATATCCAAAATGGCAGCTTGCTGGCTTGGCAACTTTAATCCAAGTTTGTTGAGTGAATGCCATAAAGCCCAGCATAGTTTACCTAATCATTGTTTACCCTCTTTTTGGAGTGGGACAAGTCCCTGCCTGTGTGCTGATAATCTCAAAGAACCTCTACCTTGCTAACCACCATGATTACCCAGTGAATGTTCAGCCATCTATCTTATTTTAACTACACTAAACTTTCAGAGTGTACTGAAGCAGGAATTTTCTAGGATTGTATTATCAACTTGGAAAGAAGGAAAGGATCATTTATTAAGTGCCTATTATGTGCTAGGTACCATGCTAGGCCCTTTTCAAATATTATCTCATTTGATCCTTAACCCTGGGAGGGAAGGATTGTTATTATCCCCATTTTACAACTGAGGACACTGAGTTTAAGTGACTTGCCCAGGTTCACACAGCTAATGTCTAATGCTGGATTTGAACTTGGGTATTCTTGACTCCAGGCCCAGCTGTATGCCTCTCTAAATTAGAATCCAAATTAAAAACTGGAATAGGCATCAAGCTAGCATGATAAATGAAGGAGCATAACTATATGACCTCTGGGGCTCCTTCCATCCATAAATCTTCTGAAACCTTGAAGTTCCATCTAACAAAGGGATGAACATTTTTCACATTGCTATCATTAGGCCTTTCATTATTTGACTGATAAGAAGGGTTCTCATCGTGCCTGTTCTTTTGGTCAGGTTCAAGCCAGACACACCCATGAAACAGGATTCCCTGTTGCAGAGCTGCTACTATTCCTCACAGCTCTCATCCATGAGAAACCACTTTTCTTTCTAGTTGTAATGGTTTAGTTAAATAGCTATTAGCTTCTTCCTCTGGTGATCTTTGCCTTTTGCTTCCAACTTCTCTCATCCCATGTACTTCAGTCTAAGATTATCTTAGCAGCAGGTTCTCACAGTACTCTCAGACTTATACAATGATAAATGTGTCTTGTCCTTGTGAAACAAGCTTAAAGTGCCAGTGTTTCCACCCTTATCGCCTTCCTGGGTAGTAGCTTTTCACTAACAAGTGCCTTCTAGACACAGGAAATTGTTTTTATACCTTCTTGTATAGCTCAGAATGTCCTGGGGTATAGCTATGTGCATCTGAGTTTTTGTTACTGTACGAAGCAGTTTTCTATGATTCTTGCTGGAGTAGGTAACTAAGATGTGTTCCATGGCATCATTCCCTCTGCCTGCTCCTTAGAGACTGTGCTGAAAGGGTGGGCCAAGGAGGAAGACTTCACGGACCTGCCAGATTTCTGGGCTCTTCTGAGAATGTGCTTCCCTCCCCACTTTCCTCATCTGTTTTTTATTTCTCTTCCAACAGTAAAAATCATCAGAGACTTACAACTTTGATATCTTCAGTGCCCTTCCAACGTTTACTTCTTCATCCCTCCTGGAGTTCACTACAAGTTTTTTTTCCCCCTGCGGATAAGGGAATATTTATGATTAAACAAGCGGTAAAGAATATTTTGGGACATAAAGCCAATGCAGCCAAGGTTACAAGGAAAGCAAAGAATTTGTGGGTGGGGGAATTTACATCAAATTTCACTAATAAATGCCACACTTCTCATGTATGTAGAGGACTGAGTCAGATTTATAAGAATATGAGTCATTCTGTAATTGATAAGTAAGTAAAGGATATGTTTGTTTTTGTTTTTGGCTAGGCAATGGGGTTAAGTGACTTGCCCAGGTTACACAGCCAGTAAGTGTTATGTGTCTGATGCCAGATTTGAACTCAGGTCCTCCTGAATCCAGGGCCAGTGGTCTATCCACTCACCACCGAACTGCCCCATGATCAAAGGATATGAATGATTAGTTTTCAGAAGAAGAAATCAAAGTTCTCTAAAGGCATATAAGTTTATTATAAGTATGTTAAGGTAGCAAATGAAGATCAATGATAGCTTGAAGGTAGAGGCCAGCTTTTAATGAGAACTTTAAAGCCAATTCAAATAAATCTACCTCATCAAAAGAGTCTGGGCCATTGCATCTCATTTCTTCCCCAAGTTTTCAAGAACAGTAACAATTTGCAGGTAGGGGTACTATGTCACAGGCAGGGGTGCGTAACAAACAGCAGGTAATGCAAAATGCTACAGATTCATGTCAACTTCCTCCACAGAACCTTTCCCCCCCCACACACACATAGATTGACAAGAACTGGGAAGAATGGGACATGGAGTCAATAATGTTCAATACTTTCCTGTTGGGCCCTTTGTAGTGCTTTGAATGCTTTGATATCTGCTGCCTTGGCTCAATATGTAAAAATTAGGTCAGAATTCCCCAGCTCAGATGCTGGGGAGAAGTGTCAGTCCTCCAGACCTTTCCAAGTTCCCTGTGGATTAGCCCAGATCAAGGTCAAGCCAGGTCTAGAGCTCGCCTCTTTCTCCCTCCATGAGTTCTTTCTCAGGTGTCTAGCTGAATGCTCTCTCCTCTCTTCTGTATCTTGAATTTCTCCCTCCCAGGGTGTGACTAAGCACCTCAATCAGTCCACACAGATTAGCCTCCCCCAGTGAAGAACACAGACTTTAGTCAAATCTAGTCAACAGCTGTCAACTCTGAAAAGAAATGGCCAGAGTCACAGAGGTTGTGCAACCTCTCTCAACTCTGAAAATACCAAAGAGCTCACACAGGTTATCACAACGACAGTTAACTCTGAAAAATAAAATAAAATAAAACCAAAATAAAACCAAAAACTACCAGTGGTGATAAGCAAAATGGTTTCATTGTTGTGTTGAAGGAAAGAAACTAGACACGTGTTAGGACCTCCTCTGATACTGAGGAGACTCAATTTGGTGTGAGTAAATCTCAATACATTTACTAGTGGTTTCACAGTGAGCTGTAGCCCTGATAATGAGAGATAACAGCAACAACAGGACAAGTTTGATTCAAAGTGTGGTTTCCTGACTGGAACGTGGTTTCCAAAAATCAACCTACAGAAGTTCCTTACAAAATCAAAATGAAAAATTGAAAATTGTTTTCAAATATCAGCTTACTATTTGCATGTGCAATTGCTCCAGAGAAAAGACCATTCTGTCACAGAAACCATAGCGCATATTCATAGTAATTTTAAATGCTAAATCCCATGCAAAATGATTCATTAAGTACCCGTCAGTATCATTCTGTAACTGACACCTGCCCTATTACCATATTTGTCTTTTGCAAAGAACCTTGAGCCAGCAGCAATTCACCAGAAATGAAGGTGTGAGAAAATTTAACAAGTAATGAAAAAAAAGCCAAAAATAAGGAGTGAGAACTCCACACGTCAGGGTCTGACAAGCCTATGATAGGACTATGTTAGAAGACAAGGGCTGTACATGCATTTATACCGGTCCCTTTATTTGTCTGCAGAAAGTGCTGCTGGCCTCATTTCTCTCTATGGACTCATCAATGCAGCTGAAAGGTGTCATCACACTTGCCGTGTGAACCTTGAACACAATGGTATGACCAGAGCTGAACAGATGAAGGGAAATGGAGTAGAAGAGCTTAGAGTTTGAACTTGGGAGGTGTGCAAGTGATTACAAGCTCATCTGCACTTCTGTACTGGAAGTTTTGACTTCAAATCTCACTTCAGCTCTGTCTCAGTTAAAGCAACCTGGTTCACTCAGTTTGACAAACTAAGCTTCACATAACTCCTTTGTAAAATATAGGGAGGAATGGCTCTTACCTTACTCACTAGCCATGATAATGCAATGTCAAAAGAAGTCCAAAAATCACAAGATACTGACAATCACATCATCTTCATCACCACCATAACTGTCATTCCTATGATTGGAACTATGCTTCCTTTCTGCATGTACCCTTCAGAAAAGACCCTTCATGAGTACATTTGAAGAATTTCATCTGTCTATCCAGAAGCATCTTCTCTAGTTGCCAGTCATGATTCACTTTCCAAAACCCACCCTTGAGAAGTAAATCTTCACCAAAAGAAATGGTTTGTGGCAATATTTTTTCCATCCTTATTGTTGCCATGTGTCCACAAGAAGGAGTCTGAATCTCTGGCCAAGAAACCATTTCAGGAATGAAAAATGCAGAACCTTTTTGAAAATTCAGGGATCCACAAACAAAGAAATTAATTATAGATCCAGGAGGGATAATTTGAAATTATTGGACTAGAAAACAACTGACTTGAA